TGTGTGTGTGTGTGTGTGTGTGTGTGTGTGTATGTGTTGCTGTGAAATAAGTTCTTGTGTGGGATACAACACATTTATGAGCAAATAACTTCACAAACTGCTTTTGTGTCTGGCCTTCTTTTGTTGTGTGTGTGTGTGTGTCTTTACCAACACACTCAAAAACCTGTGTTCTCCGTAACTGAGCTGAGTACAATGCGTCTAAATCGGGTCATGAACGCATCATTTCAGTGCCGAGCGTACAGAACAGAATGTGCACTTCCACCTCCTCCTCCTCCTCCATCTCCTCCTCCTCCATCTCCTCCTCTTCCCTGTAGAGGCTTTGCTGCTATGTCACCAATTCCCTGGCAGCCTCGTCAGAGCCTAGCTTCATGTCGGTCTATAAGAAAATGAACCAGTGTCACAACTCATCAAACAGTTCTCGAGGGGAGCTGCTCTTATTTTACTGATGAATTCTAGTTTGAAAATCTCCTGGAAAGTTAAAGTGAAACTTCTAAATGAGGCAAAAGAAGAGGAACAGTAGCTGAGACACTCTGACTTTAAACCCTGAGAGGATCGAACTGTGAATTGTTTTTAACTTCAAGTGGACAAAGTAGAAACTACAACATAGAGTGTGCGTATTAGTTTTATTTATTCAAGTTTCATCAATACTTTCAGACACTAGAAATGATTTGAACTGGAGCATCACCGATGTCGATACCGATGTTAGGGAGTGAAACATTTCAGATACCAATATACCAGCTGACATAAATAATAATATGAATAATAAATATTGAACATTAGCATATGGGCAAACATTAGCATTGATACTGTGTGTCTGCGAAAAGACCAATAAATCAGCCAAGCTTTCATTTCAACTTGAAATAACTTGAGTAAACATGGTGATGTTAAAATGAGAATGTGAAAGAACACAAAGAATCTACTCAGTATCCAGGATAAAAGTTTTCATTCCCGTCTCTCTTGTTATCAGGAGTTTTTATAAATGAGTTCGAGATACAGAGCAGAATAAAAGTGTTAATGGAAGAGACACAGACTCACTCGGTACGGGGCCAAACATTTTACAAATCTGTGGTTGTACTTCCTCCCTCTTGCACAATTGCAGTATCAATATATAGATACACAGTATATTGGACTTTTCTTATACTGCTATTGATCAAAACTGTCCTGTGATTGAGTTATTGATATTGTTTTATTATCCAGCGCTCGGTCCTCAGGTTGCTTTTTTAAAGTTCATCATGAAAATGTCACTAAATGAAAAGAAGGAAATCCCCCTCGACTCTTCTGTACTTCCCCTCTACCCACAGTGAAAGGCCCCCCCGCCCCCGCCCTATTCCCATCCCTTCCAAGGTCTCAAATTGGAGTCCCACCTCCCCCGCCCACCCCTCTGGCAGGAATGGAGAGGGCAAGGGCACCTTCTGTTGGGGGCTCTGGGGCTACAGGGGTTGGTGTCTAATTTTAGCGGCGGTGGCAGGAAACAGAGCCCAGAGAGGTGCTGGAGACTCACTGCTCTGCTAGCGCCACCCTCGGATAGTGTCAGTCTCGCACTGCAGCTCCAGAATCTTAAGATACGAAGCGGCGGATAGCACACGGTCAGAAAACTACAAGAGCCAGGTGAGTGTGGGAGGACTCACGTTGGCTGGAACCGGGTTTTGTCTTATTTTCCTTTGTTGGGTCTCGACAGGTCAGCGAGGGCTCGACAGCTGATTGTAACCCAACACCTGAGCTGGCTTCCAGAGCATGTGAACACATTTGTGTTGTGTTGCTCTCAATACTTTTAAACAAGAGAATATTCAACAGGGCTTGTTGATCCAATCTGTGTTAATGATCATTTTTGAGTTCTGATTATTTGGGGGACTTGCTGATAAAATGCGAACTATGAAGTTTGTACTTGTGACATCTGTAGAATTCAAACCGGGGGATGTTGCTGCACTGCACTTCCCAGGGATCACATGTCAGTCAAACCGCCGTACCGTGACTTCCTCTTTCCTCTGATTTTCTGTTGACTCACAGCCAGAAGGGCCTTGGTTCGAATCCCGGCCATTTGTGTGGAACGTGTTCTCCCAGTGTCTGCGTGGGTTCCCTCCGGGTTCTGCAGCTTCCTGAGTTGACCTTAGGTGTGAATGTGAGCGTGAGGGGTCTCTATATGTTTGCCCTGTGATTTTGCAGGCGAGCCATCCAGGGTGTAACCGACCACTTGCCCAATGTCAGCTGGGATTGTCTCCAGCTCCCCCCCCCCCCCCCCTCTAACGATACGCAGTATGGACTGATGGATGATGAAACAGGATTGTGAGGCTGCAATAATACCTCTATTAATGTGCCATCTCTTTTCCGCCGGTCTTGTGCCATCTGTTTTTCTTTTCTTTTTTTTTAAATTCCTGCAGGGACATTTTCTCTCCCTCTACTTGTCAGTGAGTGTTCATGTGCCCCTCTGTGCCAGCTGATAAAACAGACGAGCCGTAATGAGTAACATCCAACTCTCTCTCGTTATCCATCCTCTGCTCGCTGGAGCTTAACGCCTCAGTGTAACGGCACATGCAGCAGCCACAGTTGAGATGGAGCCATTAACTGGGATAATGAGGAAAATGATTTTTTTTTTCTCTCCAGTGAGATGCAGTGACAGAGGATTGTGGGTGAAAAGTAGCTGTAATATCTGAGAGCGAGAGAAGTGAAGGTTGAGTGGGTTCATCATCTTGTATTTACCCCCCCACTGCTCCGATCATTCCTCACTGTGACACCCCCGTTGTGTTTATTGTTGTGTGCAATATGTGCAAATGCTTGTCATCTCTGTTCACATATATATATACATACGTGTGTGTTTGGTCTCGTTCTGTGCACGTTATCAGGGAAGAGCTTAGACAACAGCTCGCTTAAGACGCAGTCCAGCACAAGCTCCCAGCCTGAGAGCTCTCAGGGTTCCTCGGCTGCCGTGCACTGTAAGTCAGCATGGCCCCGCCAGATGCAGCCTGTAACGCACTCACACATTCACACCCTGACTAAACCCTGCATGTATCCAAAGCAAATACGTCTGCCGCCATTTAGCAAAACTAAACACTCGACGTTAGATCTAATCAGAACCTGCAGGACGTCTTTCTCTCCATCTAAAATATCTACGAACAACATAATTAGTCGAGAGAAACAAGGCACTGATGTTTTGTAGTATTTCTACTCCTCCGCCATCCATCCCTTACTTCCGCCCACGCCACGTGTGTCGAGATTAATAGGTTGTCTCCCTCTTATGCATCAATGTGGAACAGCAAGTCAATGCTGGTGACAGTCACATCATCATCAATAGATTTCCAAGCATGAATTTTGCTCTGTGCTCATGTCATGACTGGAGAGCTCTCAAACACACACAGAGCCTTCTCGTCTCAGTTCCCTCAAGTGTCTCCCATGTTCCCCCTCTTCCTCCCTCCCAAACTCAGCCGCTGCAAAGTTTGCTGACCTGCTGGGCTCGGTGCGTAGGGGCTCAGGGCCCGCGTCCGACGGTGAAGGGAGATCCGTCACACCGCCTCCCGCTGTCTTCTCAGCCCCCTCCCCGCCACACACACCTGCCGTCCCCATGCAGAGTAAGTAGAAAAGAGCAGGAATGGGGACGAGTGGCCACGAGACTTAAAAACCTGAATTTGCATCTTCCGCACCAAGATGATGCATGAAAAAGATGATTCTGTCGTTCATGGGTCATTTTGGGAAAAGGAGTAAAATAGATTATTTCTAAATACAACCATCTTAACTGATTAGATTTCTTTCCTTCATACTTGTATCGTCTCCTATGTTTCTCACTCTATCCTGTTCTTGCCTTCTATCACCTCCATCCATCCTCCATCCATCCACTCGTCCTGTCTGGACACTGATCAGTGTCCCGGCTCACAGACCTGGTAAGCAGCGTCCGCAGGGTGCCAGCGCCCCCTGCGCCTGAGAGTGATGCTGCGCCGGCCCCTAGCGCCAGGGCCGTACCTCCACCTGCACACTCCACCTCCCCACCTCCCCCTCACTCCCCCTCGAGCCCCCCCTTGTCCTCCTCCCAGAGTGAGTACCGAGCATGAGCCACCTCGACCTCGAGCGTGATGCATGGGAGCCGATCAGGGGCTTAATGAAATAACATTTTCAGGATTTCAATGCAGGCGTGTGTGTGTGTGTGTGTGTGAGCAGATTCAACAGTCACTGTTTTGATAAAGAACATTGAGTTAAATTTCTCTTTTGTCAGCGATGATGGATCAGAACCAGGACGTGTGTGCTTGTTGGCTCTGAGCGTTAAAACTCGACTGACTGACTGCAGAGGGATTCATGCATCGTTTGGCTGCTTGGTGGTTGAACACGTTGTTTGCAGTGATATGAGGAGAAACCCTGTGTGTGCTCAGATTAAAGCGTGTTTGACTTGATGACGAGCGAAGGCTCTCTGTTGGTTTTTTTGGACACTTCCTGCCTTTAATTGAAGTCATTTCACCTTGAAACATATTTTCCAGCTCATTATACAAACTGGAATATTTCTGCAGTTTTCTCTGTTCACATTATCTAAGACAATAAAAATTGATTGAACTCCTCTCCATCTGACCGGCTGCTGCGATGACCTGTGATTAACATCTGTTCCCACTGTTCTCTGCAGCGCGCAAACAAGAAATCATCAAGATCACAGAGCAGCTGATAGAGGCCATCAACAACGGAGACTTTGAGGCATATGCGTGAGTTTGAAGTTTGTCTTTGGCTCGTTAACGTGTTGAACATGTGGCTTGATTAAAACATGTTGTGATCTGCTGCCTTCAGTAAGATCTGCGACCACGGGCTGACTTCGTTTGAGCCGGAGGCGCTGGGCAACCTGGTGGAGGGGATGGATTTCCACAGATTTTACTTTGAGAACCGTAAGATCAATAGATTTATTGATTGTTGCTGTTGCAGTTGTTTTGCTTGGATAATGATGTTGTAACTTTTTGGTGCTTTCAGTGTAAATACATTTGTCTTCCATCATTTAACAGCAGTGCAGAGAGAAATCAAAGAAAGCTAGATGACACCATGAAATCAGTTCTTATGCTTCAATTTCAAACACCTGCCGGTATCAGATTTCTGGTTCTCACAGTACAAGCTTTCAGATTTATTTATATATAACACAACAGGGGTTGAGCCAAAGTGCTGTATGATAGAGAAAAAACAACACAAGCATGGATAGAGAGAAAGTAGTGCAAGGATATAAAAAGAAGCAGAAGAAAAGATCAAACTAAAGAAGACAAAAATAAGAACAGACAATCATAAAATGGAATGAGACTGAATTAAAAGCAGGATTAAAGTGGTACAACTTTAAATTAGACTTAACATTAACATTAGCGGGAACAGAGCTTGTTTCTTGTGACATTATCCTTCACCTTCTTTTTCAGTTTTGGCCAAGAACAGCAAACCCATCCACACAACCATCCTCAACCCCCACGTCCACCTGATCGGCGAGGACGCCGCCTGCATCGCTTACATCCGCCTGACTCAGTACGTCGACAGCCAGGGGCGGCCGCGCTCCAGCCAGTCAGAGGAAACTCGCGTCTGGCATCGCAGAGACAGCAAGTGGCAGAACATCCACTTCCACTGCTCAGGCGCACCGGCCGCGCCGCTCCAGTGAGGTACGGACCAAAGAACTGCCCCAGCTCACGACAGGAGGCGCTCGTCGCAAACCACGTTGTGTGTTTTAAACTGATATTTGAAAGAAGGTGGAGAAAAACAGATTCATGCAGAAGAGATGACGTGGGATCATCCTGGAAATAGAGGAAAGTATCGGAACACAGTTTAAAGTCAGTAAAAACAACATTATCTTTTGTTGATAGTCTTCTACTGAACCGACCAACCGAAGGAAGAATCCGCCACATTTCCAGATGATCGGGCAGATCTATCAAATACCTTCTTTGTACACTTGAAAGTCTGTTGGGTAGTTGAGGGGCTGCGTCCTTCAGAGGCTGCATTTGAAGACAGATTGTGTCACAGCAGCTCGACAAGTCCGTCTTAATTTGAAGGCTCCTTCACATGCGACCGAAATAACGCATCTTTTCTTTCCCGAGTAAAGAAGACTTTACTTCTTCGTTTGTCCTAGATTTCACGGTGCTTCGGAAACAAACTGACGAGACAAAAACGTCTGATGCTCACACTTTAAATATGATCAGGCTTCAACTTGACCTAACAGCTGAAGGTTCACACGTTAAAAAACAAAAAAAATTCAGTAAAACTTTGTAGTGGTGTCCAACCGCAGCTCTGTTGCTTGGCGACAAGCTTGAGATGGAAATCACAGAAATCTTCTTGCTGCGAGTTACCACAGTAATATCACCAATAACACCAGGCACAAGTTAATCATTGTTTTAATATGCAGTGTAGAAAAGAGTTTAGATTTCCGTCAGTCACACTTTCATTTCTTTTTCTTTTTCTTTTCCGTCTCAGGTTTGAATCCCATAGTTTTGTCTGTGAGGAGTCTGCTGGAAGAGGAAGAGGAGGATGAGGAGGAAGAGGAAAAAGAACAGTGTCAGTTTGGGGGCCCCTCGCCCTCCAACAACAAACCCTCCCTCAAATGGACGCCCGGCCTCCACCCCCCAGCATGCATCTCTTCTTTTACAGCTACTTCTGCCCCCTGTCACCGTCTGACAACCATCAAACAGCGACTCAGCGTCCTCCGACCCGCTGGGCGATGGCGGGGGTCGGGATGTTTTCAGCACTTGTGTGATTCCTCCGTCCTGTGGTCTCTTCTCCGTCCCCACAAATATCTTCTGTGACCCTCCCCCCTCCCTCCCTCCCTCCCTCCCTCGTCCTCCTGCGAATCCACACTTGTGTGACTTAAACACTGCACTGGAAATACAGTATGTAAAGTTTTAAGTAAAGTCTATTACTATCATTACTATATTATTACGATTCATATTATTATTATTATTACACATGTATATGTCATTTGTATAATTCAGAATTCTTGATGCCAGTGGTTTTTAGAGTTGAAGGAATCTTTTTTTTTTTTTTAGTTTGTTTTTCTCTATCTTTTTAAGGAAGCATGTTTTTCCCCATATTAACAGTGGCTGTTTTTTATTGTGGCTATTAAGTGGAAAATGATATTGGCAGTTTTTGTCATTTGCCTCTTGTGTGTTAACTATGATACTGCACCCAAACTCATGGTCGACTAGTTTTTCCCTTTGTATTTGTTTTGGGGGTTTTCTTTTCTTTTAATCTTTTCTTTTTGTGTGTGTGTTCTTCTGGAAGGCGTGTGTCTGATGAGTGTCATGTGAAGGCAGGGAGTGAGTCCTCGTGTGAATGTGTGTGCGTTAGTCCAGATGATGATGACTCTGTCGTTGTCATGAGAACGGCAGGACGTGGGGTCTCGTCTCGTTAAGCTCAGTGTCTTCCTGCTTCAGAACCAACATTTCGTGTGAGGCGTTTGAGTTTTATCGTGTATTTACGTTTCTGACTGAATGTTGTGACGATGGGGTTTAAAGAATGAAGCAGCTTTTTAATCAAAACGAAGAAAAGTGTCTGAATATAACAAGATCTAAATGTTTCAGTGACATTTTATTTGTTGAGACAAAACTGATTTTGTTTCAACAAAAAAAAATACCACCGCATATCTCATCTCATTATATAGACAGAAATTATTTTTATCTTCCATATCGAAAAACATGTTTAACAGTATTCAGTCAGTGACTTCAATTTAATTTTAAACTGATATTTGGAGCCTTTGATTGATGAACAGCATAAGAAACTTTAACAAGCACATGTTTTACAGCTTTTGCTTTTAATATTATCAAAATAGTCGCAGTAGTTAGTTTTTTGAGATGTGCTGTATTCTCTCTTCTGACTAAAAGTCTAAAAACATCGTTAACAACTCAATAACAGATAAAAAAAAACATAAATACATGATGATATTTCTTATTATACCAACACGACTAAATGAAAACTACAATTCAATAATTTGCTATGTCATGATAATGAATAAAATATGTCGTAGAGTCTCTTGTTGATATTACAGCAGTTTTATCTTTTCTTTTTTTTTTTAGACGAGCACTTTCATTTTTGGGGGGTTTTCACAGTGAAGAGCAGCTCAGCGTCGCCTCCTCGTTTCCACCTGGAGCTCGTGTTGATGTTTTTTTTTTCAAATTCTGCTGAAAAAGATGCTCGGGGGAGGGAGGGGATGCCCTGCTGGTGGCTCCTGCTGTCGCTAGGCAACGGATGAATACCCCCGCTTGAAGCCCAGCGGCTCCTTTTCCCTTAAAAGTCGAGATATTTTGATTTCGCTAAAACTCTCGGCGCCGCCCGGAACACAACAGCAGCAGGTCTTTTTTGAAAGTGCAAAGAAAGGATCCCAGCGGAGGCCTTGACCTTTCTCGCTTCCAGAGCCAGAGCGCAGGAAGCTGCTGCGTGTTAGTCTGTACGACGCACACACACACACAAACAAACACACACACACACACTTCAAGGTCCATATCAGTGATGACAACTGACACGTGTGTGTGTGTGTGTGTGTGTGTGTGGTTGATGCCTCAACAAGTGGGAGGATGTTTTTCACAATTGTCTGCAGATGTCAGGGATGCACACGGCTTCTCTGTTCTGTGGTTCCTCATTTCAGCACAGTCCTTTGCCACAGGGTGTAATATTTGTGTGTGTGTGTGTGTACAGTACATCCATTGCTCTGATTGTGTGTTTTTTTTTTTTTTACAAGCCTTGGGGGGGGGGGATTACATGTCGGAGGTGTGTGATTTTGAAGAGACGATGAAAGGAGAAGGCTTTATTTCAGAGGACATATCAGTCCAATGCCTTCAGCCCAGGACTTAAAATTTCTCATGATTTGAACTTTTTTATTGTTTATGTTTTTATCGTGTCACAGTGAAGTTTTATCAGCTTCTCATTATATAAAGTGCTTGTGCCAGGGGGGGAGGGGGGGGGGCATGGCAGGATGATACAGATGGACTCTGCTCCATTGAAAATTGAGATTTTTGTCGGAGCGTAACTTTTGCTCGTCCACCATCGGCTGCCTTCACGTTTTGTCTCGTCCCTGTATTGGTCAGACCAAGACATGAAGAGACCGAGCAGTCGGTGTTTGGTGAATAGTCCTCAGGTTTCTATTTATTTTGAATATTTATTTATTTATTTTAGTGAATATTTTATAGTGCTTAGAGTTTTGTTTTTTTTCCTCGTGCACTTGTGAAAGTACTGTCTGTTGTTCTGGGGACTCTGCTCCATGTAAGACTGTTTTTAAAGGGACAGTACACCCAAGTTGCATCCTGCATGTGTTTTCTCTGTAACGACCAACATGGTGTGTATTTATTGTTTCTGTTTCTGCAGTTTTTTCCTCTGCGACTTCAGATCTACGCTGGTTTTGAAATATTTATTCAGTTTTACGGTGTCCTTTGTTTCCTTCTACTGAATTCCCATTACTGCATTGCCACAGAGGTAATCTGTTACTTTAAAACTCATGACACACGACTGGATTTTGTGTGAACTCTGCCTCTAAAGGCTTCGTTGCCTTTTTTTGAAGATTTTTTCAGATGAAGGCTTTTATTTTCAAGGTGAACCACTGAGTCGTCTTGTCAGAGTAACAATGTTCATGTCTCGTTGACCTCGACGTGATCGTGAAAGGTCAAAGGTTTCCTGAAGGCGTTCATGCGTGATCGTGCAAAACAAACACCTCGTCCTCCTCCTACAAAAAAGAAGAAAAAGCAGCATGCACAGTTCAAATGTGTCGTTCTCCCTATCGTGTTTTCTAGCCTCCGTTTCATAAGATTCAAATATTTAAATGAGGGAGTTCACAGTGTTTCACAACTGCAACTAAAACGTTTTCTTTGCATGACAGTCAACAGGACACTTGTTTTTTATTTTGGTGTTTTCTTTTTTATTTGGTTTCACCTTTTCTACTGAATGCTGGTATACTCGATCTTTCTGTAACTATTTTCTCAGCTTTTTAAGTGCATATAACTATTTTTGTCTCCAGATGATATAATGAAGATGACTATGATGAAAAGGATGATTATATTGATGAGTGAGGATGACGATGTTGAAGGTGATGGTGATGATGAAGAAGATTATTTTGCATGCGATTCTATGGGGCTCTGTGTTGTCAGTGCAGGACTCTGCCTTTTGTACATAGAGAGAAAAACAAAGGAGCACATGTTGAGTCTCAGCTGTCAGGTCAAAGAGCACCTGAGCTCCAGCAGGGGGCGCAGTCTCACAAAGTAAAGCACAAACAGACTTAGCTGCACTATAAGTTCATTTTAGTGACAAATCTAACAGACCATCCAGGTGTAGAGTAAGAAACCAGCTTCCATGATGATTGTTGATCAGGGCTGCAACTTATAGATCATGATCATGTGTCACTTATCAGAAACTACAATCATGATTGGAAATTATTTACTGTGCAGATATAAACCACATCTGCCTCCTCTGGGCTTTTTAAAGTCATCCTCGTTCTCCAGTGACTAAGTTGCGCTGACAACACTGAGTTGGCCCTTCTCTTCGTTGGGTGTATTTCACTCTTTTCTCCCCCAGCCCCCTTTTTTCAGTCATTTCTCCTCAGTTGGCTCTTTCTATGTTCTATCTGTCTCTTTTTTTTTTTGTCAGTTTGGGTTTCTCTTCTGTATAATAATATTAATCCTCTAGTTCTCTGGTTCTTTGACTTATTGCTCTGTTCTCTTACGTGCTACACGTGTTTCTCTAACTTCAAGAAAAATGTGTTAAGGTGTTATCAATAAAATTACAATTTAAATAGAAAATAAAATCTGTCGTTCTGTGTGTAAGTGGACATCTCATAGATCTGGGCATGAATTCATTTGAAATTTCAAAACAGAATATTTGTTTTTGAATGTGACTAAGGATGTAAATATGGATGTTTTCAAATTAAGAGGATTTGTGAAAATGGCCAAATACAAAATCTAAAAAGAAAGAAAACTAAGACAATTAACAAAATAATTCAACATCATGAAAAAGTAATGGCAAAAGAAAACCTACATTTCATACATTTTGTGTTTTAGGAAAACAATCACCAGCTCAGTTCTAAGATTACACAAAAGAAGATAAAATAAAATAGAACGAAATTAAATGAAAACATATCCTCACAGAGTTAAAACACTTTTTTTATTCATGCGTAGAAAAGTTGTATTGATGGAAAAAACTTAAAATACACAAGCACCTTATGGAATAAGAAATCTTTGCATCATGTAGAAGAGAAATATTTAAAAAAATACATAAATATGTAATTTTGAAAACCAGATGACCATAAATAAAACACAATTAAATAAACAACCAGCTCCCCCAGTTTCTACCATCAGACCAGTTTCACCAGTCTCTCACTGGCCTCCCACAGTTTTTTGGCCACACCAGCGTCTCGAGCGAACGGGCGCAGAGTGCAGGGTCGGCAGTCGACGAAGTAGCCTCCATTATGTTTGGTAGCTTGGTCTGACACAGCGCAGTGGACGACAGTCTGAGCTCCGATCTCACACGGCACAAAAAACATCCACATGATCACCTGCATCAGCATCCGGAACAGGAAGGAGTAGTGACACGTCCAACCGCTCTGAACAAAACCTGGAGCAGAGAGATCAGGTCAGGAATAATCATACTGTAGGTCAGAGGTCAGAACTCCTCATGGGTCATTTCATATTGTGGAAAAGTACTTCATGTATCTACTGAAATATTATTACGTACACATTGGATTAAACATGCTGTTTTTTATATTTTCAATGATTTTCCCAGGAAATAAAAATAAGGATTTGACATATCTGAGTTCTCTCACAAAAACACAGCCTCTTACCAGGGTGCACAGCACAACAGGTCACTTCTTTCCCTTCTGTGATGCGGGCCAGTTCCTGACTGAAGTAGAGGTTGGCCAGTTTGCTGCGGCAGTAGGTGAAGAAGGGCAGGAGGTTGTAGTTGAGATCCTGAAAGTCCAGCTTCTGGTATTTGTAGGTGGAGCATGTGAGGGTGATCACTCGGCTGGGAGCACATTCTTTCAGACGAGGCAGGAGCAGGTTGGTCAGCAGGAAGTGACCTAAGTGGTTTACGCCAAAACACATGCTGAAGCCGTCATCCGTCCAGTCGAGGACACTAGGCATCCCTGCAGAAACAAAACCGAAGAAACACATGGACTTTAGCTGATGTTGCTTTTCCCCACAAGATCCTACATACTCAGACTTTGTGTGTTATCAGAAGTGTACTGTGTTCATTGTGATGTATTTTAAAAGTCAAAAACAGCAGGTGGGACAGAGATGTGCTTGACCCCCCCTCACCTGCATTATTGATGAGGATGTCAAGCCTCTTCTCTCTCTGAAGGAAGCTCTTACTGAACTCCCGCACAGAGCGCAGGTTTGCCAGATCCAGCTCCATGTGGAGGACGTTGAGACTGTGACTCTTAAACTTGATCTCTCTCACAGCCTTCTCCGCCTTGTACACGTCTCTGCAAGCGATGACGACACGAGCGCCTCTCAAAGCCAAGGCGACCGCTGTCTCCTTTCCAATACCAGAATTCCCACCTGCAGGAAAAACACACACAAAAACAGGACATTTGTTTGTCATTGCTAGTGCGAAGCTAATAACACGAAGGGGAAATAATCTGAAAGGTATTGACCAAACTTTGTGGTGATTGAGAGTAGATGCTGAGCACCTACGTTCACTTTTGCTCCGAGGAAATATTTATTTGCATTTGTTTGTGTGTCACGACTGGAAACTTCAAATCCAGGTGATATCAGAAACTCAATCTGGGGAGAATATGACTGTTATTGTTTTTCATAATAACTTCCTTAACCCATATCTCCTTTAATTAGATCTGATGCACATTAAACTTCGTTTACATGCGTTTCTCACGTGACAGAATCAGCAAACCACCTTTCATTAGGATCTGAGACAGGTACAGTTAGCTGTGGATGCTAACCTAGCAGCTGTGGATGCTAACCTGCTAACACATCTGTTTACCTGTGATGAGAACTGTTTTCCCGTCGAGTCTCTTCAGGTCGGTGCAGCACCTCCTCTTCTTCATCCACTTCAAAATGAAGAACGAAACCAGAGACGCGATGATTGTGTAAAGAAAATACATGTTCCCTGTGAGTGCTAGCTAATACCTACTAGCTTTGTCTATTAGCAGCTACTGAAACCGTTGTGTGTGTGTGTGCTAACGCTAGCTAGCTTGTTAGCTCGCCAGGAAAACGCATATTTCCCCCCGCCTGTTGTTCGTCCATTTCGGGATCTACGTTGCGGTGAAGTTGGCAGACCCGATCCCGGACTGGGAGAAAAAGAAGAAAAACAAAATGAAGATTTTCATCTAATTTAAAACGCTGTAATTCATTCTCTGCTACCGGATGTAAAGTTACAGTAAGTACGCATGCGCCGCATAGTCAAGTTATCAAAGTATCGCGAGAGTTTAAAACTTGCATCAGAAGCCCGCACGTGAAGTGAACGTATTATTTATCAGAATGATTTAAAAACAAAACTTGAGCACTGTTAAAATGTTTATTTAATATTTATGACCTGTTGGTAAATAAGAAGAATAATATCGATACACTGACGTCTGTTCATTAATAAGTTAACACGTGACTTTGGGAGTTCGAGGTTTGGTCGATTTGATATTAAAACGACTCAAAGTTAAAATTCAGGATTATGGGATTAGGGATTAGGGAGGTGATGGTGCAGCATGTTCGTCCACACGTCGTTACTTTGTTCCCTCAAAACAAACCTGATGTCGTCCATCTTTCTCTGTGCAGTTGTTCTTATTCTCTCCTCTGGTGCAGCAGCTGGGGAGTCACATTTAAAAAACAGTTCAGACTCCAGAAAGTGAATGTACATGACTTTTCACTTTTCACTCAGAGGAAAACACTTCGTGACAACATGTTTGTTTGTGTGTGATGCAATGTGGCATGAGTAAAGGTCTGTCATAGAATTCAATGGGATTATTTCATTCTATCTATCTATCTATCTATCTATCTATCTATCTATCTTTATATCTATCTGTCCTTCTTCCATCGACACAGACTTTATATATATAGCAT